TTTTCTTTTAGTTTTTAACAACTTTGATGGAACCACAATGTCCACAGTTAAGCCAATATTTATGCTTTGTGAGGAAAGGTGTTCAGTACATCAGTAGCTTGACTTTATCAGTTTAGCGAGCACAGTTACAGTTAAAAATATATAGATCAATAAAAGTGCTGCCTTGCACTGCTATAGAATGTTCTGAAGCCAGACAATAAATCAGGACCTATACAGGACATGGACTATACATTAAAAGTAAATATATTGCAAGACACATATGCTTTTCTCCTGTGCATCAGCAGCAGCAGCAGATGGTACAATGTTTTACACTTCAATGGTCCAGCTTGAAAGCCATTCCACCAGCTGCAACCTACAATCTATATCTGAAACTACTGTCAATTGGCTCCAGTCCACTACATGTAAGTTTCCAACATACCTTACTGTTAAAGCTGGTCAGGATCTGTCTCTGACCACCTCAATATGCTACATACAATGACTTAAAACAAGTAAAAATGTTTGTGAAGAATTTAAATAATCATGTAATATTCTTACAACAATCTCATAATAAAGAATATCAACAATAGTGACTAGATTTAAGATGTTTTCACTTGCTGAGACATTCATGTGTCATCCAGGCCAGAGGTGGGCAACATGATGATATTTCATCGTCATCATAATAAATATTGTTATTGTGATAAACAATATGCTTTTCTGAACATATCATGGATTTCATCGGTGCTTAAAGAACACTGACCAACAGCATGTTTCATTACATAGAGAGCATAATTAGACCTGTTTAAATTAAGTGCAGTGTAGTATGTAAAACAGTGACTACAAATCATTGTACTCATGTGTGTCAAAATGTTGTGCTATGCATTGTGTGTCATGTCATGAAGCATCGTGATATGGTGTTTTTGCCATATCACTCACCTCTACTATAGGCCTTCAGAAGCATCTGAATACCTCCCAGGTGGTATCACCAAGACTGAACTTGGATACCCCTGCTCTATTGTAACAGCTTCAGCCAGATGTTGCCCTTTTAATAGTGATGCAGGATAAGACTGTTTAAATAAATGTTAACCGTAGCACCAGAGCACAGCAGCTGCAGCAAAATTAATCCAAGTCTCTCATGTTCTCATGTTGATTCCATGCTAAGCTCCACACTGACACAAAATGTGCCTTGAATTGACATAACTCATATATATCATTTGAATGAACCATATGACACCAACACAATTACTGTCTTTCAGTTTAATTACTGTCTTGATGTAATAATTTATTAATTTGTAGTATATCCAAAGTATGGGTGGGCGATTTGGCAACTGAAAACATTTTCTCGATACACGATACATGTCACAAAACTTTGTTCTTCTGAGGTTTGATAAGTTGGACAGGACAAAAAAAAAACACTAATAGTGTCACATTAAAAAAGAGTACAATGATCCTTTGCAATGTTTTACTCAATTCAATTTATGCAACACTGCACTAAATTCAGTTAAACAGGACTAATTATGCTCTCTTTGTAATGAAATAAGCTGTTCAGTGTTCTTTAAGGGCTGTCCATATAGACAATATGCTCAGAATAGCATATTGTGGCATAATTTATCATGTTAACAATAAAACATAGTCATAAAGCCCTCCTTTAAGCCCTCACTCATATTGTGCTCCCTTGGCCGAAAATATTGGCCGATATTGATGACCTGTGGTTTTATCGGTATTGATGATAAAATACACACACATACACACACAAACCTTCTAAACCGCTTATCCTTAAGGGTCGCGGGGAGGTGCTGGAGCCTATCCCAGCGTTCATTGGGCGGGGGGCAGGAAACACCCTGGACAGGTTGCCAGTCCATCGCAGGGCAGACAGACAGACACACACACATACACACACACACTCATGCCTAGGGGCAATTTAGCGTGTCCAGTTAGCCCGACTGCATGTCTTTGGAGTGTGGGAGGAAACCAGAGCACCCGGAGGAAACCCACACAGACACAGGGAGAACATGCAAACTCCACACAGAAAGGACCCTGGCTTGATGATAATAAATAAAAATTCAAGCTTCTGATAATAGGGTGAAACCTTGGGAAACCTTCATAATTAGAATAAAATGTTAAATGTATCCAAACCTTATGTTTAGCATCAGAATAATGTTATAACACAAAAAGGTTTTATATAATTTAAGACTCTGCTGTTTTTGAGTTTCCGCTGTTTGAGTTCAAGATGTTTTACAGTTGAGAACTAATGGAAATCTGAGGTGTCCAATCTTATTCGCAAAGTCCAATCTTATGGCTGCAGGTTTTCACTCCAAAGAAGCTGAAGCACACCTGGCTCCACTTGTTTAATCAGTTGGTCTTAGTCTTCAAACATTTCATCAGGTGACCTCCTGCTTTATTGGAGTGAAAACCTGCAGCCACACAAGCCCTCTGCGGATAAGATTGGACACCCCTGGTCTAACTACAACTATTGGACTACAAAATCAAAATACAAATATCTAAAAAAAAAAAATAAATAAGGGATAATAGCAGTTTTCAGAATTTTAGCCTCTTTTTGACAGGTTACCTAAAGCAGCGGATTCTGATTCCAGCTTTTTTTTAAAACACAGCAATCAAGAACGATCTGCTAAAAAAAACACAATAATGAACATGAACACATAATACTGGACTAAGCTGGAGAACCAGCACAGATGGAATTTTGGTCACCATAATGATGATCTCTGGTGAGCAGCATATGTTGTTTTTGGACATTTCAGTACTGGCTTGGCTTTACACTACCAGCAAAATTGAGTTGGTCAGCTAACATAGCCTCCAGACCATCTTGATCATCATGCATAACCACACAGACCATGCTTGTAGGCTAGTACGAGCAGAAATGAGTAACGCTGGCACAGATCATTTTGACATTTATGCTGTTCTATGGGGTTTGTTCACGGAGTAAATTTCAAATTATGACTACACTTGAGTTCAACCTCACTCCACCAAAGGGGTTCTTCAAGGGTTCTCCAGTAAAGGCACTCAAAAACATGTGAATGCTTTTTATGTGTATCATTCAATTGTACAATAGTTATCTCCACAAGCTTATGATGGTTATTATTGTAATGTATTCTCCATTGCATCAGTTATTATCATGTATTATCCCCATGACTGAGAGCCTGCTGTGTATAGTTTTTAAAAAGCTTTTATAAGAATGGGAATTTAAACAATTTTCCAATTACCCTAGATGTAGTCAATCAGTCAAGACATTTTTGGTTTCCAAATTTAGCTTCTTTAATGCTGGAGCAACGAAACTAAAACTGCTAACAAAAACCCAAAATCAATAGTCAATAGTCACTCACATTTTTCCGTAAATACATCCCAAAACCTCCTGTAAACCCACTCAAATCGCATCCAGATCTTCATTAAGGTCTCACAGACTTGGCGATGTGTTTGAACAAAATGAACAAAGCTTCTCTGTGTAGCTGAACACTGTGGACAGCCATTTTAGAAAACAGGTGTTCCACTCCCCCCTGCAGAATCCAAAATCCCCTTTGCATGCACGCATGTCATGCAGGCATACGTTCGTGACATTTCTGTTGTTTCTATTTATAAACATACATCTTCTGTTAGAATTATCGGTTATTAGCAGAGGAATAGCAGTTATTTAAAAATGCCTGCATAAAACTGTGCATGTGAAGCAGAGGCAGCATTTACCAAATGTGTAAAAAGTTTTGTTCATTTTCATAGTTCACAGTAAGTCATAGGTCCAATCCCATTTCTTATTTTTACCCCTACCCCTTGTTTTCGAGCATCTTCCCCTACGAAATGGGACAACCCTCAAATAAAAAAGAACACTGCTTCATTAACAGGCTACTAGCGGTGCTCTGTAGGCGACCCTGCCAGTCTGCAGTGATAGCACAGGAGGGTAAATTTCAGCAAACTCGCTGCTGGTCTTCACTTCACTTTAGGGCATCATATGCTTTCATAGAGGGGGGATGCAATAATTATTAATTATCACCCACCCCTAATTCTTCAGTGATATGAAGCTGAAGCCAGCTTCTCATTCGAATTTTCCTGTTCCACCTTAAACAAAGCAGCAGTTACATTCTGGCGCTTCAGGCGTCAGAACTGCTTAACTATTTAAGGTGAAACAGGAAATTAAGCTAGCTAGCTACTGAGACATCAACATACTGCTAGAGATTTTTTATGTTTGTTATGAAGAAAAGGACCATAATACATTGAAATGACATTAAATGAAGACAATACAATGGTTATCGTAAACTTTAATGGGGAAAATTCATTTTTGTGTGTTTCTTTGGTCGCTTGTGCAGCCATCTTGCCAGTTTTTCTTTTTTTCTCATAATACTCTGTTTGGAGTGTGCCTTGTAGCCCATGTAGCCCTAACACTTTGCTCTACCCCTCTATCCCAACAAAAATCAGGACACCATACCCCTAGGCGTGAACGTGCAAACCAGAGGGCAAAGTGGTAGGGGCAAGGGGTGAAATGGAATTGGGCCATACTGTTTCCTACACAACGTCAACAAGTCTGGTTGGCCTAATGAAGACTGGATGTGGTTTCAGTGGGTTGAGAGTTTTGTGCATGTATTTACTAAAAAAATGGGTGTCCTTTGACTTCCAGTGTTTGTTAGCAGTATTATCCTTGTAGCTTCAGTTTAAAACTAAAACTCAAAGTTTACACACCAACCATGTCTTGGCTGAGTGGTAACTTGTGTACATATGATTTTTAGCAAAACCATTCTTGGAAAGAAGAAAAATCGTTCAATATAGCACCAAACATACATATGCTAATGTTACTATAATGTTAATAGAATGTTTTTTGGCACTATATATGTGCAATTTTTTTTTCATCATATAAAAAGTTATGAAATTTTACATCTGTTTAGTTACAGTATTTTACATGGATGTTCTATTAATCCTAAGGCATTTCCATGAGCCAACCATTCCAAACGTTACTGAAGAAATCTCAAGACCTTCTCAAGCGAGTTTACTCCAACATTAAAGACTCACAGCATTGCACTGACCTGTAATAATGTTGTCAAGAAGAGTCGTGGGCATGCAAAAAATCCCAACGAGTAGGTCACTGACAGCAAGGTTGAGGATAAAGAGGTTGGTGACGGTGCGCATGTTCTTGCTTCGTAAGACAATGAAGCACACCACTCCATTGCCCACCATGCAGACCAAGAATATGAGGAGGTAAGACACTATGAAGATAGCAGCTACTGAGGGCTGATGAAGGTAAAATCCAACATAGGTGATGTTGCTCCGAGGTATGACATATTCCCTGGTCACGTTGGGCAAAGTCCAGTTTTCATCATCCACAAAAGTGAAGTTCATTTCTTGTCCTCTGTTCATTTTTGATCTGGAAGAGAAGGGGTTAAGTTCTTGAATTGGTTCCATTATAAATGCTCTATCGCTCATGCACACGCACGCTCATTAAGATGCTTTCACTGGGCTATGCTTAATTGCGATATACACACTTGACGTAAGCATAAACGTGAACCTAATAAGCCTGCCTCATTCTCCAACAACCTAAAACTGATCAGGTTCCCATGCCTGAGTTACAAAACAGCAATCAGACACATACATCTCATACATTTCTATCTTCTCCTCACTCCTCACTTTACATTGCCAGAAAAAAGGTACTGTGAAAAAGGCACAAGTAGATTTTGTCCACCGAGTTACAATGTGTACATACCCACAAACATATAACATGGCCCTTAAGTTCCAATTAAGTGAGTTTTAAGGGACACTACATTCATTTCCCAGGGAAAATGTACTCATTAGGAATAACAGGAGTCCTAAGCAAAGGTACTGAAGGTGACCTCTTAAAAGTACCATATCAGTGACAGTGTTTGAGAGCTGAGAATGTACAGCAAAGGATAAATTTTAGATCTTCTCAATTTCCTAATGTATGCTCTTACACGTCAACACGTTCCACCATATGATCCCATTTCCTTGGGTTATCTAAATGCACAAATGTGAACCGCAGTGAAGCATCTGACAAGAGCTTTACATCGTACAGTCTAAATGAAGGCTACACTATATGTCCAAAAGTTTGTAGACACCTGCGCATTCAATGTTTCTCCCTATATCAAAGGTATTAATAAGGAGTTTGTCTCCTCTTTGCAGTAACAGGCTCTAGTCTTCTGGGATGTCTTGACCTTAGATGTTGGAAAACAAATTGTCAATATGGCAAAATGTAATATCAGGAATACTTCAGGAATTTTTTTATGATGCATGATGTCATGACATTTTTCTCTGCTATCTGATAAGTTAGAACAGAGTACAATAAATCCAATAAAACAGGACTAATTATGCTCTCTTTTTAATCAAAAATGTTTTTTTTAGTACTGACAATACCCAAAATATGCTTAGAAAAGCTTATTGTAATTTATCACAATAATGATAAAAAAGGTCATACTGTCCAGCACTATGCTGGAACATCGCTGTGACCATTGCTGTGATCACAAATGCCAGTGCAACTCATCCCAGAGGTTCTGAACAGAGATCCATCACTCCAGAGAATGCAGTTCTACTGCTCATCAGTCCAAAGCTGGGGGGGTCTATAACCCTTCCTGCTGACACCTAACACTGGGCGTAGTGACCTTAGGGTCACAGACTATACAAGCTGTTATGTGTTAAACACCTGTATCAGCAATGAGTGAACCTTAAAGTAAGTGAATTCACTTAGGAGAGGTGTCTGAATACTTTTGGACATATAGTGTATACTGTCATAGTTTAATCATCTTGCTAATCTTTCTTTTTTATATGTATTCTATTCCCAGAATGCATATCCAAGTTAATTCTGGTACTCAAATGAATGCAAAGTGCACGAAGAACCAAATCTCAGATTACCAACTAGCTAAACTGTTAAATGCTTATTTCACTCAACACAGCAGTAAGTAATCTAAGTGGATGCTCAATTTGTGGTGTTTTCTCCCAATGAATGCACAGAGGCAACAACTAGTTTCATATATCTTATAGGACTGCACTGTGATTCAACATTTAGAAAATGATGGCAACTGAAGTGATGATAAGTGAATTCGGGTGACTCCAAACTGCATGCACAGATTAAATCAGTCCCTCAAAGAGCTTTTGTGAATATAGTGTATAAGCACAACGAGCGCAGAAGGAGACACTCATATTCAAGCAAAAACCCAAGTAAATTTTTTCCAAGTAATAATTTCACATTAGATAAAGAAGATAAACTGAATTTCATCCATTTCAACTCAATTCAATTCATTTGTGGTTGATTTTTGCACAGAATGGATCTGCTAGAACTTTAAACATGCTCAGAAATATTACTGTTATAATACCGCTATTATATATAATTACCACTGTTATAACAATTTGTATTAACAGATATAGTAACATAAGAATGACACTTCTTCACTTGGTCGCTTAACAGCTTTAATGGAGCAAGCCTCCCAGTGGTGAATGAACTCGTACAGTTGTGTCCAGTTGGATTTCTATGAAAACTGTAGGTGTTCATTCAACAAAGTAGGCGTTTTATCAGCTCTGGGAATTGAACCGTGCACACAGAGAGAGTTTCATCCTTACCTCTTACTCAGTCTGCAAGTTCCTTCCTCATAAACCAAACGAACAAGCACTAGCACGTTCTTAGAAAGCGAGCTTTTAGAGAGCCAAATTTAAGAGCGGCCCAAAATAAAAACATTACAAAGCCACTGGTGGTGTGGCTTACGCGCTACACGTTGGTGAAGATAAACTCTGGTGGAAACGACCGCCATAATTTTCCGCTCTCAGAAGTTTCTCAGGCAGAAAGCTGTCCGCTCCGCATCCACTCGCTTCGCCTGATACACGCACATCACTCTGTACGAACTGAGGCGAAACTGAGCGAGCGGCGAGGAGAGGATGCACTTTTCACCGGCGCTAACGACACACGACACTACTTTCCCCACCGGTATTCAGACACGCCCCGCCCTCCTGCGCTGGGATTGGACAGCAGTGTATTATTAGATCTGTGGCGGATAGGGGTTGAAATGACCTAACCAGCCAATCCCAGCGCAGGGGGCGGGGCTTGTCGGAATACGGGTGGTGAAAACATTAACCCGGGAGGTTGACGTCTCGCGCTCGCTGCTAGCAATTTCAGTCAGGAGCGTTTTAACCGTCCGTCACCCAGAGAGGGTTAAAAGCAAAGGTAAGAGAGGAGAACATGAGGAAAGTGTGAACAAATAAACGAAATAAAATACAAAACCAAATCTGTTAAGTCGGGGGTGATTTAAATTTTATATTTAAACGAGGACATAAAGAAGTTAACTATGAAACTGCCGAAACATTGCTTCTCTAACCGCTCCCACCCCGACCCCTCTTAAAAACGGCTAAGCTGAGAAGTTACCCTGCTATGCATCACCAAACCAAACATACCAAGACTATGTATGTGCAACTACGTGGATAGATTTAAGTCGATAGGGGGCACTATTCACCCATATATAACTAAGTTAGTGAGAAAAAGAGGCTCTTAAAAGTTCTGTAAAATTTTCGTCTAAGTAAGTTCGCCTCTTTGTTAAAACGAAGCGTTCTCATACGACAGAAGTCAACCCTGCTGAGAAAACAGAAACCATTAGTGTTGCTGTTGGTTTCTGGTGGTTTTGTAATGTGGTTTGGCTTTTTAATGGGTTGCTATGACAATGTAAAGGATCCTAACGGTTTAACAGGTGACCAATGGCTGATTCTTAATGCATTGATTGGTTTCCTAATGGGATCTAAGGGTGTTCTACAGGAAATAAGGTCTCTGTTGGGAGGGAAGTCACTGCATCTCAGTTGCCACTAAATGTAAGACCTCAAGGATCATTTCTTTCAACATCTCTTGTGGGAATTCTGATATGAAAACTCCTGTTGAGGCATCTGCTTCTTTTCTGAAAGTCAGAACCTTTAACCTATCTTTGTCTTTTTGATATGATCAGTGGTCCTTCTCAGTGCTAAACTATAATTACGAAATTATGCCAGTTAAATGTATTTTAAAAATGCCCCAAAGTATATGTGAACAGTATGGCTTTAAAATATTAACTACTGACCAACTAGCTAAAACATGTGAATTATATAGAGAAGGGGATGTTTGTCTAGGGACGCTACTTATTATAGATGAATTCTATACCAAAGGTTATATTTCCCTTGAGTGTTTTATATGAGTGTGCTTCAGTTTTGGACTGAGCACTAGGTACATTATTAGATTATAGATTGAAAAGTCTGGTCAGATGTTGCTGCTGCTTGTCATTCCACCATGCCTTTCCACCAAGTATATTTCAGACTGAATAACTATATTTTCCCAACGCTTGATATGGTTTCATACTGTCATTATAGAACACTGAAAATGTAACACAGAAGTGGCATTTATTTGCCAGAACCTGGATTGATGAATAAGGTCTTTCCTGGCACTTTGGCAGTTTCACAGGCCAAAAATGTCAGTCATACCAGTTAAAACCATGTTATAGTAGTGGATTTTGTGAATACAAGAAGTAAAATTGCATACTGTAATAATAATCTAGCAGTGTACCACAAAAATAGTGTTTTTGCCAAGATGTTATCCTATTTTCTTCACATTCTGTTTGCTTAGTTTCTTCTCTTGTAACCTGGCATAATAAGATTGCTAAAGGCTAGCACTTTGGCAGTTCTGCATCTGCATATGACTACTTGTTAAATAAACTAAACTGAACCAAAAATCATAGTTACAATCAATTAGAGAATGCAGTATCTACCATTGGAAGAACAAAACAGAAATACACGAAGAGTAGATGCTAATGATGCAAGTAATAATTGCAACTTGATGACGACCAGTTAGCATTGACTGCCTTTCTTTTTTGTAAACCTCACTGACAGTTCAGGTAAAGTAGAAAAATGACTTTGGATTTCAGATGGACCATGAGATTGATCTCTCTATCAAAGTAGCCTTGAGTTTAAGCGATGGCAATGAACAATTTACAGGTGTATTACTCACAGTAAATGCCCTCATGTACAGCACTCGCCATGGGTGAAGTTTGAGAGCTGAGTGAAGCTTTAAACACCTGAAAGAGTCTGACAGCCTAATCTATCAATCAGATTTCACAGCCAGCTGTTGGTATTATTAAGCTTCATGGCTTTCAAGAGGCTAACACTTCATAGCTGCCTCACAAACAATGGGCTGAAAGCCTGCCAATGCTGAAACCAGAGCTGTTTCTGAGTATTCAGCGTCCTACCTGGGGTCGCTCACCCACCTGAATCATATTATTTTGTATGCAAGAGTGGAAAAGAATTAAAGTGTGTGTAATTTTTATTAGGAAAAATTAAATACAGATTAAATAAAGGTTTTAGTGTCATGTGAATCATTCATTGAAGGAAATGGTAAAATTTATACATTTAAAAAATTTATACATTTTTCAGACACCCAAATCTGTAAGTACATCCTCAAAAACTTCTCGCAGCTCACTCAAACTCGTCGAGGTCTTCATTAAGGTTGTTGCAGACTCCTCAATGAAGTTTAGAGCAGGGTTTCTCAACCACTGAGCTGGACTACAAAACACCCTCTGGGGTTGGACCCTCCTGATGATGCTGCTGCTGCTGCATAAACTCAAACTATCCAATTAACCATTGCTCCACCTGTTTTTTCCCCCTTTTGTACTCCTGTTTGCTATCCGGTGTCAACCAGAGCAGGATGCGTTCCCCTTTTGAGTCTTGGTTCCTCTCAAGGTTTCTTCCTGTTGCTTTTAGGAAGTTTTTCCTTGCTACTGTTGCCATTGGCTTGCTAATGGGGGCTTGGACCAGGATTTTTCAGTAAAGCTGCTTCGTGACAACATCTGTTGTAAAAAGCGCTGTATAAATAAACTTTGACTTGACTTGACTTGGTAGTCCTCTGGTCTATACTGAGGGGGAGCTATGGGTCCGTAGTGGGCCGGTGATGGCAATTTATTTATAAAAATTTGTGAAACAATAAATTACCTAATAAAAACAAAAAAAAAATCAGAAACATAAGAAATATAAAATGGAAAACCATATTAATACAAGCCCTGCAACATTCAGTATCCAATTAATGTAGCTTACCTTAATAAAACTTACTTTCATTTGCTTCCAAAGAATATAATACAAAGTTATATTAATGCTGGTTGTTGGGGCAATGTGTTTTCTATCAGGCAAAATGAACTACACACAAATTTCAATCCTTTTTTCCCTTTTAGCAAAAAAATTTAATCCAGTTTCAGTCTTGACTGGGCCTTGCCTACTCCTGAGCTCTGACTCAGACTCAAGGCTGGGCATTGACATATAGAACAAGCGCTTAGATAGATGATATAGCTAAAGCTAGAGCTTGGAATTAGAGTTAACATCCTCAAATTTACTAACATCTTTTGTCCTTGGGGTCAGTTTGACCCCAGCCTTTTAAACCTCCAGGAAACATTTAAGTACTCTTGGGAATTGTGTTTTCCCCTCCCCTGTGTCATGTGAACTAGGTCAAATTGAGCCCAGAGAACACCAATGCACACAAAATGTACACAGGACATTGAAAACATATCATCATGTTTACCCAGTTGTTCCCATTAAATTAGGAAAAGTAATTAAATATAAAGCAAAAAAGATGTCAATCATTTATTTAGAGACATTAAACACTGAATGGGGTCAAATGATCCCGAAGATAGAAGGAGGGCTAAGTTTTCTAGTTTTTGATTTTAAAATGTTACTTCTATCTGATCTTTAAACTAATGTTCAGGTCACAAAAGTTTTCAGTGTCAGCACTTAAGAAATAAAAGAAAATGCTATTTTTTAGCAAAAAGCCTTCCTTTTTTTGAACAACACTTAACAGTGTAGCTGATCACAGCAGGCAGCCACTTAAGATGACTGGTGTTATGCCAGATTCTGACTCCCCTTTGCGTGCACGCACGTCATGTAGGTATATGGATGCCACAGATTACATTTGTGATTTTTGTTTTTTGTTTTTTTTTATAAATAACTGTTAATCTAGAATCTTTAAACTGAAGATATCTTTATAAATGGAAACAACAGACATTGTGAATGTAATCTTGTGTTCATATGCCTGTGTGATGCATGCAAAGGGGAGTCAGATTCTGCGGGGGAGGCTAAATTTGGCACAAAACCTGTTGTCTAAAATGGCTGCCTGTTGTGTTCTGCTAGTTGGAGAAGTTTTGTTCATTTTTGTAGTTCATAGTAAGCCTTACTGTGTCCTAAAGCACAAGTGTTGTGAACCCTAATGAATGAACCACAACCTTAATGAAGAGCTGGATTTGGATGTGGTTTAAGCAGGTTGAGAGAAATTCTGGGCATAAATTTACAGAAAAGATTTAGGTGATTATGGATATTATCGACCTGTGTGTTAGCATTAGTAACCTTGTAGCTCCAATGTTAAACTAAAGAGGCAAAATTTGGACTCCAAACACGTCTTTGCTGATTGAGTACAACTGTACAAGCAGAAAATTGTGTATTGATTGGACTTATCATTGATTGATTGTTGTATTGATTGATTGTTTGGAAGCAAAGTCATGATGTTTGCCCTTTTTCTGCCAGTATCATGAAGAATGACACAAGCAATAAAAATGTGAGTAATAAATAAATAAATACAATAAATTAAATACTTGCAGGGCTCCTAGTGGCTTGGGGGTTCTAAGTGAAGGCTTATACCGCTCACTACACTGCCCTGGCTGAAACCATACCAAATTCAGTAATGAATGATTATTTCTTTAGATGTGTTTCATATCTCAAATTATATAACTATGATTGAATTAAGTCAAATGTTCACTTAATCACATAAAATCTTTAATATCTTGCTCTGCGGGGTTTATTTGAAACCCTAATGTAATACAGCTTCCATCAGCCTTGATTATCTGA